TCAGAAATATTCAGCTTGGGACTCAAGACTGAACTACTAGAAGTTTGTTTTGTAGAGACAGAATTACAATTAACTTTAGAGTAAAAAATAGAACTAGATCTAGGACTGGCATTATTCTCAAAAACTTTCTTTTTGCCATCTGCGATTTCCTTCCTCTTTTTCCTCCACTCATTCTTCTCTTCTCCTTCCTTCTTCACTTCATTTCCTGTAAACAAAGGAGAAGAGAGATGAGTGGACGATCTTTTTAAAGCATTGTTTTTCTCATGTGAGGTGTGTGAGCTGTCAGGCTTAGTCGTAGAAGGGTCTGTTTTAGCATGATACTGCTCACTCAAATCATTGAACTTTTGAAGAAGTTCCTGCCAGTTGCGCTCAAAACCTTTCTTTTCAGTTTCAAATCTCTCTCTCTCGTTATCAAGAGTTTCCTGTAGGTTTTTGAGCTTTTGAGCCATGGGAAATATACAGGGTTCCTCACCAGTTTTAGCAATACCTACTCTTGGGGGAGGGTCTAGAGGATGTCCTATATGAGGAATATCTTTAGCATAAGGATCAAGGCATTCACTAAAGCAGGAAGTGGGTTTTTCTTGTGAAAGTTGTTTTTCATTAACAGAGGGATAGTCACAAGAAATCGCAGACTTTGGATTCTTTCTCTTTTCTTCTTCTGCTTCAGCGTTTTCTTCATCACTTCGAAAATGCATTTTCTCGACTAACCCTAGTCCCATGTAATCTTTGTTATAGATTTGAATACAGTTAACTTTCTTTAGATTACGTGGGTTGGTTATGCCCAGTCCTGTTTTAGCATTGTAAAATCGGTCATCTTTTTGTTTGCTGTTAAGCAGAAAAACAGTTTGTTCTGATTGACCTCTCTTAGCAGCTAGATCCTCTAGTTCTTTTACCTTATTTAAAAGTGTTCTTCTCTTGTTATGCAAAAAATCGCATTCAGCCTTTGCTGTGCTTTTTTCTCGTTCACTATCCTCAAATTTCCTAGTTAATTCAGCTATCTTAAGTTCAAAGTTTTCAAAATTTGAGGACACCTTTTTGACCTGATCTTTTGCAATTTCAAGTTGAACACTTAAGGAGGACTTTTGGTCTAGATTCTGTTTCAGTACCCTGTAATTATTGTCTAGTCTCTCCTTTAGTTCTTTGATTAGATTGTCCTTCTCAAGTAAGGACTGCATTTGATTATTTAAAGGAGTATGTGAGGTACTTACAGAGCTTGTTGAGCATTCGCTTTCGGGGATCGCAGCATCACCCTTTCTTTCATCTTCCTCCACTCGTGCCATAAGGGCATAGTTGTCTTCCTCTTCCTCCTCCTCAGAAGAATCTTTTGCCCCGTTCTCATTCTCATCAATCATTGCAGAATTTTCTTCTTCTTTCTGCACCATCAGCATTTTCTGCTTATTCCACAGCATCTTCTGCTTGTAGAAATTAGCATCTTTCTTCTTTGGGAGGCGGCAGTCTTTGATGACATGTCCAGCCTTACCACAGTTGTAGCATTTGGGGGCGTCTTCAGCTGATGGCGCCTTTCTGGAAGATCCTTGATCATGGTTCTTCTGCTTGTAGTTTGAGGAGGAGGTTCACAGCTTGTTGGAGGAGCTGTTCTTCTTAGCAAATCTTTTGGCAAGCAGTGCCATCTTCTTCTGTAAGTCTGCTAGCTCAGCCTCTAGATCAGATTTGTCATCATCACTCTCGTCATTATCTGACTCAACCACCACCTTCTTCTTTTTCTTCTTTAGTGAAGTGGTTGTCCTTCTTGGCTGAGCCTCCATTACAAGAGCTAAGGGGTTTGTGGTGTGATGATCCTCGGCACAGGCAACCTCGTTGACAAATTGCTTAAGATGTTCATAGAGTGTGCAGAGGTCAATTTCGTCCAAATCTATCCGAGATCTGACATCCTTCACTGTCTTTTCCCATGCAGGATGCAGGCTGGATAAAAATCTAATATTCAGTTCCAGATTGGACCTGAATACTTTGATTTTTCTGAGTTCATTTACCAGTTGAACGAGTCTGTTGTAAGTCTCATTCAATGGTTCTCCTGGACCTGCTTTGAAGGAGTCATAATCAATAAGAATCGTGGTCTTCTTGGTTTTAAGGCTGATGCTTGTGCCTTGGAGCAGCTTCTCTATCTCATCCCACATTTCCTTAGCTGTTTGCATGTTGTCTATGAGAATGTATACTTCATTGGGGATTGCTTGAAGAAGGTATGTTTTGGCCATGAGATCACCACGAAGCCTGAGCCTGTCAGCTTCTGTGTATTCAGATGGCACTTTCCTCCTTATTTCTGGAAAAATAGGAGGATTATTTTCTGGATCACCACCAACTGAAATCAAGAGTTCAGCTGGTCCTTCAAGCAATGATTCAAGCATCGCAGCGAAGTTCTCTTTGTGCTCAAGGAAATTAAGGAATCTGTTCCTCCACATTTGGTATTCTCCCTTCCTGAGACTAGGAGGGGTACTGCTGTTCCCTTGCGCATTGAATTCTGAGGCCATTGCTGTACTAAACTGACCGTTCGAGAAAATTGATCAAAAGATTTTCAGAGGCAGAAAGTCGAAAAATCAGATGTCGAGATCTGAATATCGAAATCTCAGATTTCGATAAAGGAGGCCCGATATCGAGATTTGAGCTCGAGATTAAAGATCTCGAGATTAAGGATCTCGAGATTTCAAATTTCGAGAAGCTGATCTTGAGATTTGAAATGTCGAGAAGTTAAAACTCGAAATCTAATTTCGAGATGTCAAATGTCGAGACCAGATGTCGAGACCTTGTTTTCGAAATCTTGATCTCGAAATCCTAGATGTCGAAATCCTCAATGTCGAAATCCTGCAAACTGTAAAAATCAGATAAGCAAAATCTGAAGGTAGTTTCCTGTAGAGTAGAATGTCGAGATCCTCGGGTAAAATTTTCAGCTCGAAAAACGTAGCAGAACCTGTGAAAAATCAAGATGTCGACAAGCCCTACTCGAGATATCTCGAAAACAGAATATGCGTAAAACACAATCTGAAGTATACCCCTTGATCGCTTTGAAAAGACGATTCTAAGGGTGTAACTTTTACAATTTTTGAACAAGAAACAAAATTACAGAGTGAAATATCGACAGTAAGAACAACGTAAAGAAAAAACAGAGTTTTCTGCAGGTGTTCTTCTGATCGGCTCTCGATCGGCTCTGATACCAATTGTTAGTCCGTGTTTCTATAACAGCAATGAATAACGATCTAACAACAAAGATTAAACGTAAGGATGAACACAGAATGAATCAACGTAAAACCCTCTTTGATAGACCGTGAACTCGTACAACACAAAAATATGCGCGTAAGGCTATGAAGAATAAGTACGACGTTAACCTAATCCTAAACCCTCGGCTCCCTTTTTATAGGCGAGGTTTAGGTTAGGCGTACAAGGCTTTTAGCCTGTTTATATGGGCCTAACACTTGGCCCGATTGCTATCTAATTCATGCACTAATTAAATACAAGGATTAAATATAAAGCTGATCTATGACAAACTTGATTCACAATTAAATATCTCCAACAATAATATATATATAAAGTGCATTATTATATGCATTTTCTAATGTTCTACATTAACACTTCTTTATAAAAGCAATGCACTTCTACCATGTGCGTTGTAAATATATAAAAGTGCACTATTTGTTTTTTAAAGGATAAAAGTGTTGTATTATATCACACTTTTTCTAAAATTTACATTGGCATTTTTTACATAATGGAATGCATTATTCTTTCCAAAGAATCAAATTTTCAATTATGATAGTGTATCTTGGTATCACTTGTATCTTCAAAAAATATTAAAATATAAAAACTAGTAAAAAGTGCATATACGAAATATGCTAAGTGCATCAAAATTTTAACATAAAGTTCATTGTTATTATCTTATTAGAAGTCCATATTAAACACTTAACATGGACGCATCACATAACAATAACGTAAGTGCACTAATTGTGAGTGCAAATCTACAAGTCTAAAAAACTATGTTAACCAACACTTACAGTTATGCAATAATAATATGTAAAAGTGCAAGAGGAAATAAATATGATTGCAATGAAATCAACAACGTAACCAACAATTAAATATTTATGTAGTTGTCCAGCGCAAAACAAATTAACATAAACACTATAACAACAATGATGCACCATTTTATATGCATCATATCGTAATAAGCACTTCGATCCATGCAAGTAAAATAATTAGTGAAAAAAGAATTTCAAAAATCATTCTCTATAAAAATGAATAAGTTTTCGAAAACAATAAACATTAGAACCAAGATGGATGAAAAAATAAATAATTAAAAACTGAATTTATTACTCAAGAATATAATCCATAGGAAGGAGATGACTCAAGTGGACAAGGAATAATTTTGTATGGTGAAGCCAAGAGAGAAAAAAAGAAACATGCTGCGCGTAGTAGACATAAGAAACTAGTAAATCATTAATTATTGGAGATAGTTTAGGAAGGAGAGAAGCCATAATGATAGGGACGAATTTAAGATGGAAAGAAGATAGAATGACCCATCTAGCCTCCATAAGGAATAGTCACACGTAGAAATCAGGAGATGATCTAATGGTCCTTATTTATTCTTATTTCTCTCCTAAGATTATATTCTCACATGAACCTAAATCTATTTATATATATATATATATATATATATATATATATATTTACATTTCATAAAAAAATAAAGGAAAATTAGAATTTTGGTCTCTTAATTAGTTACTATATTGAAATGTCAAACTCGTGTTTCTGAGATTGTAAATGTCACTCTCGATTTGACATATGTGTTTTAAATGTTATCCCCCATTTGTAATCTGTCTCCAATTCTGGACTACCAATAAATTCATCGGGATAACATTTACAACACATCTTTCAATTCGAGAGGGACATTTACAGTTCAAAACACAGATTTGACATTTAAATATGATGACTAATTGAAGAACCAAAAGTACAATTTTGCCTTGTATAAATTATAATCCTCATACTATCCTCCCCAACCCCAACCCCAATCCCAACCCCCCACATCACACACAAAAGAAGCCCTAAATGAACACATGTTTTTTAAGGAGTATATGCCTTCGGAGGTCCTCACTCGTGAGTTAGGTTCTAGTAACGGACGTCATGTATCCACTTTATAAGATTCCGAATCCGAATCATAAGTTCAAACATTCTGAGTTTTGGTTGATGTCTTCGCATTGACTCGCATGAGCTCACTCTCGGAATAAAAAACCCGTCGTTTCGATTGATGGTTGCAGCGTCGTTATACGGAGGAGCAACAGTGGCTGGTTGTTCAGTTCGTTTTGCTTCACCTGGTTAATTTTCAGTCTATCTTCTTGTGGAAGGTGAGGGTATGATAAACTCGGATTCGGTACGGTTGTTAGAACTCAGTCAGGAGATTTTATTTGGATAAAGATTTTAGTTTGATTAAAGAATCTTTCACTAGTTCTAAATCACGTAAAAGGAAGCTATGATGCAAAACATTCCAGATACTTTTATTATTCTATAGGAAACCTTTCATTAGGTAGTTGGAATGTTGGATAACTACTTTTATTATCAATGACTAGAACTAATGACTAGAATGAATAAGGTGTCATTTTTGTAATTATATATTTATATTACAATAACAACAATACGGCACAATGTGCTTGCTAACCAATGATTGAAAAAATGGAAGGTTGAGTAATATTATATTAGAAGATGCTTCCACTTTCCCTAAACTAGCTTCCTACATTCCTTTTATACCCGTCTCAAAATTATTTTCTCATTCATTTATGAGAAAGAGTTGTGTCATGTGTGGTTCATTTACTTACCACTTTCTAAATAAATTTCAACCTTGTAATTTAACTTTCTCAACAAGCGCGCCAAAACAAATGTGAACCTAAGTTTGAGACAGAGGGAGTGATTTTTAGGATAAAGGGTCAAAAGTTGTGAGGTGCAATCAGTGTTTGAAATTTCGGCGCGCCTAGCCAATTTCCAGGAATTTTGCGATTAAAGGCGAAACTTATTTCACGCCATAAGAAGGCTTATGCATTTTGGGGCTGACGCGTACAATATAAGGGGTACCATACAAATTGCAAGTAGGCTTACACAATGATAAGTTTCCCAATTACATGAAAATGATGGCCCCATATGTATTTCAAACCCAACAATTATTTCAATAGTTGATCAAAATAGATACGTCTTCTTCTAATTAACATGTGGCGTCTGCCTTTCCCTCCCGTCTCTCTGCGGAGTATATTTTTCACTAGCTCTTTTGTAAGCTCTAAGCTCATCCACCTATCCTTCTCCTTTCTCTGTGTTGTTATTCGCGTCGGCCTATCCCTTTTGGTATGCCACAGGTAATATCCCTTTAATCTCCATGTTCTTAGTTAAGTGTCTAATAGGCCTGAAATTAATTCCCACAAATTTTACTATGTTTACTCTGCTTTTGTGCAACTTTTTAATTATTTATATTCAAGGTTTTCCTTTATTCGTACCATTGTTTCAAATTGTGCAATGCAATAGCGCAATGAGGCTCGCCTCAGGTATATTCTACCGCAAGGCGCAGAATTGCATTGCTAAAGGCGGTAGTGTAGAAAAGGTCGCAATATGGTGCAGAGGCGTACGCCTTTTGCGATGCACAACAAGGCGTCATGAGGCTATCGCCTTGGGTGTTTAAGTAGACACGTGGGCCGATAGGGCCCACTTTATATTTTTTTAAAGTAGCAAAAGCTAGCGTGTACGCTATTCCCCTTGAACTGGTTTCCGACCTCCTTTGGTGTTTCACCCTTCGTCAATAGTTAGCAAAAGATAGGTTGCTGCTTATTCATCTGTGCATCACAGGTGTGTGATGCACAGAAAACCTGCGTTTCTACTTCATCTGATAAAGTTTTAGCAATAGGCAGAAGTTTCAAGTTTCACCTGCTTCTCATTTAACTTCAATGTTTTAGTTGGTAATATATGATTGTCATTGTGTCATACTACGTGTCATGTTTTAATCTTAATTTTAGTTAATTAATTCTTTTCCATCGTTTTGATATAGAAACTTAATTCTACATATTATCTTAATTTTAATATTAATGTTACTGTTAATAATATCTTAAATTTCTGTTAATATGAAATTTGTTAATGTTATCTTAAGTATCTTTTAACTCATCAATATAATAATCTTTCAATTATAGAATGGTTTGAATTTTGAACGTATTACTTTACTATGATTATGTCCTCATTATATTATTTTTAATTGTGTATATAAACAAACACACACACTATATATATATGTATATATATATATATATAATTTACGCCTCAGGTCTACGCCTCATTGCTCAATGAGGCTTACGCAATATGCAATAACAAAAAAACGCCATGATTACGCAATACGCAATTTTGAACCTTGATTCGTACTGAAGTTTACTTTTCATATGATTTTAGTTTTTGATTTTAAGTATAATTGTATATATAATTTAATTTGGACTAAATTAATATATTATACAAAGTATAAATAATATTTAAATATTATGATTAGCATAACTCTTTTGCATTCATTAATCTATAAACTTAGAATTTTAGAATAAACAATTTCTATGATGTCATGTTTCAACTCACGATTTCCATTATTTTATGACATAATTGTTAGTTTGTTTATTGATTATGTTGTTTGGATGAATACTTATATAAGAAATTGATAGGTAATGAAACAATCACAGTAGAAATTGGTAGTATTTTAATGAAGATTTTAATGAGGGAAGACAGAAAATAACGAAAGAAAGGGTTGAGACCCTTTGAGTGGTCTCGCACTCCCAAGTTCCCAGTCCCAATCCCAAAATCCCCCCCATATTCTTCCCCTTATTCCTTCTTATATAATACTCTCCTAAAGGGCCAACCCACAATTATGTTATTGGGCCTAAAACCCTATTATTGAACCATATTAAAAATACTCAATAAGACTCTTATTATTGGTAGTGTCCGAGTCCCTAACAGAAATTGACCTAAGTAAGAGTAAAAAACGTTTGTGAATTCCAAAATGAGGTTGTCATGTTTTTATTCTTTAAACAGGAGTAATTATTGCCATGTTTTGGCAATATTGTACTTTACACATGGTAATATTTCCCAAGCTTGACAGTAATTATTTCTATTTAGAGAATAAAAACATGACAATCCTATTTTGGAATTCCATAACGATTTTACTCCTGTTTCGGGAATTTTACCTATTTGTATTTATTTCTTATTAGTTCTAACTTTTTATATACACAATTGCCCTACACATTAAGATTCACGCCTTAGCCTTACACCTCAATGCGCAATGAAGCTTACACAATATGTCTTGGGTAAAAAATGCTTTAACTCCTCAATACGCAATTTCAAACATTGGGTACAAGGCACCTCAAACATGTAACGTACGCAGTATGTCTTGGGTACATACCTTGACTGCTCCAGTTAGCTGGTTATCTCTAGTAGCTGACTTATTTACCTTTAGCTATCTATTCCTTCTCAAATATTCTTGTCATGTTTTTCAGATTTAGAAGCACTCCCATGGCTGATCTAAAAGAACGGTTGCTTCCTACAAAATATTCACCATCAGTTGCAAACACAAGAGAGGCATCTTATAGGTCATCAGCTTCTAGTCGTCAACCATTCCAAGGTCTGGACGTCCCAGGCCTTAAAAAGCGTGGCCAGGGAGTTCGGTCTTGGATCCGTGTAGAAGTTTCTGGAAACTCCCAAGTCATTGAGGTTGACAAGTTCACAATGATGCGCCGCTGTGATCTCCCGGCACGTGATCTTCGGCTACTTGACCCATTATTCGTGTACCCTTCAACGATTCTTGGAAGAGAGAGGGCCATTGTTGTTAACCTTGAGCAGATTAGGTGTATTATTACGGCAGATGAGGTTTTACTTTTGAACTCTCTTGACAGTTATGTCCTTCAGTATGTGGTGGAGTTGCAGAGGCGGTTGCAGTCTGGTGGGGTTGGGGAGGTTTGGCAACCGGAAGGTCCTCAGTTGAGCCGAAGGAGAGGAAGTAGTAGGAATCTTGAGAGTATATTTGGGAACTCATCACCTGATTATTTACCTTTTGAGTTCCGCGCTCTTGAAGTTGCTCTTGAATCCGCTTGCACTTTTCTTGATTCTCAGGTATTTAACATATTCTTAGTCTCATTCTATTGTATGACATTTCAGTCTTTATGAAGTTTATTTATGGCCTTTTGGTTGAATATTTTATCTAGGGATCTTTCAGTCCTTTCATTATGGGGAAACTGTACATTTAGTCCCTCAATTGTCAGTGACTTAGACGTGCCACTTTTAGTCCTTAAACTGTCACTGAAGTGGTGCTTTTAGGCTTTATTAGAAAAAATCTTCAGTTTATAATAGACAATGGAACCCTCTAATTTCAATGGTAAGATTGCACTTTTGGTCCCTCATTTATTTCACATATTGAAATGTAGTACCTGTCTTTTGATTCTTGTAAATGTCACCCCTTAAATGTGAAACAAGTTTTAGCTATAGTCTCCACAACATCAACAACAACATGTCTTACCAAAAGACTTCGGGGTCGGCTAACATGAATATAAATATGACATCGTAGTTTGTAGCCATAGTCTCCATTAGTACTTTAGCAAACTCTCTTCTTACATGATTTACGGCGGTTGCTATATTTACAACATGTTGCAAAATTAAGGTATGACATTTGCAACATAATGCACATTTAAGGGACAAAATATTCACAATTTTTAACGGAGTTTGTAGCATTATTAATGGAACTAATGTGAAGAATATATCTATAATTTATTTCACAACTAAGGGACTACATTACAAAAATTAAAAGTTAAGGACTACTCTCAATAGGTGATACCTACATACTGCTTGTAATTAAACACCAATGGGCTCAACCGCTCAACATTTAAATTTCGAAACTCTCAAAATTAAAAAAAACATAATTGTCAAAAAGCTTCGCATTGACAAATAAGTTGACTTTTAACCAAAGGTTAATTAAGGACTAAACCCACCCCAGATAATTAAGGGACTAAAGGTGGTTGCACCAGTAATTGTGGGTCTTAATCTACCATTTCTTCCTAATTGAGGGATCAAAAGTGCCAACAGGTCTTATCCACTGTAAATGTCCACAATAAAGCTCGTACCCATGCTTCCGTTCAATCTTTTATTAGTTGTCAAACATATTTTGAAGTTTAAAATTTGAATTATTTTAACTAGATAAATTAATTTCTAGAGCATAAAAAACTTATCCATCTATAATTAGTCCTTAAGTTCCCTAATGAGTTTTGATTCTTAGGATGCATGTTTTGGTTCTGTAAATCAACATTAAGGCATTTGGTTGGCATATGCTGACCAGCTTGATTTGCTAATAAAATACCAAACATACCAAATATGGCCTGATTTTGATTTCAGCCGGAAAATTAAGCCATTATTGTATTCTGTCAGACACATACTAACTCAATTTGAATATGCTGTTATGCACGTTTAGTCATTTATAGTTATATGCCATAGCTGTTTATTAAAAATAATAATATCTCAAAGTGTTCTTTTCGAATTATTATTGATAAAAACAAACATTTGAATTATACCATGTTATTTATTCTAACTGCTTCTATTTATTGACAATCATCACATGCTTTTTATCCCTAAATGTCTTGAAGTGTTAGGCTATTAATTCATACATATGCTTCTTTTGTTTTTCTTTTTTCGAAATTGGTCAGGCGGCAGAGCTAGAAATTGAAGCATACCCTTTGTTGGATGAGCTTACATCAAAGATAAGCACATTGAATCTGGAGCGTGTTCGTCGTTTGAAAAGTAGACTTGTTGCCTTGACACGTCGTGTTCAAAAGGTATCAAATTATCAATGGTAGCTATCTTTGATTTTTATCCCCGTAATGGAGTAATGTTTCAAAAGCCTCTTTTTATCCAAAAGCAGTCGTATTTCATAAAGTAGCTAGAGGTTGCGAAAATTTTGTATTACTATAGCGCTCTGTCATATTTTAAATTTTATTAGATAAAGTACAGAAGTACTGATTTAAATCCGTAGCATTGAACTGGACATTTAAAAGCACCAAACATAACATTGTGCTACATATATACACTTCTGTCTTTTCTGTGAGGAAAAGAGCAACTTATTATTTCATGATGAAAGTACAAAAAACTGGCATGGGTAGCTAGGTGATAGGGACTTGGACAGCCAATAATAATAAGAATAATAGAGTATTATTAAATAGTGTTATTGTATAAATAAATGTTCTGGGCCATGTAATTCAGGGTATGGGCCGGCCCTTAAGAATAGAAAGTGTATAAAAGGGGGGAAAAGGGGAGGAATAGGCAGGCAGAATTTGGAAGAGGAACTGGGACTCCTGGGAGAGATAGGCACTCTTGAATTTGCCTTTGTATTTCTCTTTCTATACTTTCTGTTATACGACATCTCTTTTCTTCATCTTTGATTCTTGAAATCTCTAGTGAAATTAGTTAGATACCTAACATTGGTATCAGAGCACCGTTTCTGACACATGTCCATGGTTGCGACGTGTGGAACGATGGAAGGAAAATTGGACAGTTTCGAACGCGAGCTGGAACATCATCGCGAAGAGTTGCGGCATGAGATGGCTGAGTTGCGCGCAATGTTGATAAAGCAGAATGACGGACATGAGCGAGGAAGGTCAAGAACCTCAACTCGCGACAAACGACATGACAGTCCAACGCAATCATACTCCAGAGAGAACATGGAGCGGTAGAAGAATTGCGAAGGGGCCAGACGCACTAACGAAGAGTTACGCGAATTAATTCTGCAGAGGAATGATCGCCACTCAAGCGGAAAATTTAAAACAACAAAGCGAAGCAAGAAACATGACAGTAACGAATCTTCTTCGTCTTCTTCAGGTTATGATTGTTCTTCACGAAACAATGATTATAGCAAGTGGATGGAGAAATCTGGAAGGAAAGTAGATTTACCAGTATTCAATGGGGATGAGGTGTACGGATGGATAATTAAGATGGAACTATACTTCCAACTCAACGCTATTGTAGAAAAACATAAGGTTAGAGTAGCAGAAGAAACAATGGAGGAAAGGGCGTTAGACTGGTTCCAATGGTGGGAAATTGAAACTAGAGAAAAGAATTGGGAAGTCTGAAGGAAGCTACAATTCGGAGATTCCAACCTACACGCAGGCGGAAGACAGAAAACCGGAAATCTTCGCACTCGCAGTCGCACACAGTGTCTACAAGTTCGCAGGTCTCAGTTCGCAGGGCTCAAAGAGCGACTTATCTCAGTTCGCAGGTCTCACCGCAGGTTTCATCCAATACTTCCGTTTCTCACAGTCCGCAAGTTGAGTCAGTTTCATTCCTGCAGCAGTCTGTGAGTCAGCGACAACCTAACTCTGAAGATACATTCATCAATGGTGATGAGGAACCAGAGGAGAAAACTTCTGTGGTGATTCAATCCATTGCCATGGAATATAAATTTGGCGTTGATAAAATTGTTGGTTCAAATACTTGGGAAAGCTCTACAGAAACTGTCCGTATAGAGGAAACTGGGGAAATAGAAGAGGATGAATCAAAGTCTGAGAAAAAGGAGGACAAAATTGAAATGCAAAACCAAAATAATTCCTCTGCGGGGTTTGATAGTTTGAGCTATGTTCACGGTTATAATTCTGATCTCATGAAAGTAGCTAACAACAGGGATGCTGAAAAGGTACTGCACCACTATCAGGTCACAGAAGACAAATTAGAGGTCCGTGGTTGTCTTGGTATGGATTACAACCAGTACTTTGGTGGTGATATGATGTACTGGAATCCTTCTGACCATATTCAACAGTTCTTAACTATGGGGACCACAGATGGTATGCTGAAAGCAGTTGGAGGGAACAACATGGAAGGCCCTATGGTATGGGAGCTGGAAAACAAACACTTATCTTCTATATTAAAAAGGAAGTCAAACCTATCCACATTCTATGCTATCTGTGGCACTCATTACATGCTTTTGGGGAAGAAATATGATTATGTGTCTATGTTGAAATATGATGCCAGAAAAAGACAGGTTGTACATTTGTATCAGCAGGGTTCTAATGGAAACTGCCTGGATGCTTTCAACTCATGGTCAGGGGGTGATTGAGCAAAGGGTAGGAATAAAGGAAGCTGCTGGGGTTAGGTACTTCACTGGCACGTTTGACAGCCCCTTGGAGTCTCACCTTGATTGTTCTAAACAGTTCCCTGTAATGAACTTTACTCCAGAAATACTGCTAATATTGACACGGGGGATGGGAAAACATGTGTTTGTGCTTGACCATCAGATGCATATGATTGTTGACATATTTGATTCGTTGCTTTCACCTTCCATAAGCTCCGTTTTAGCCTTGCCTGATGAAAGTTTCAGCATGCAACGGCGTGAGCAACCAACTCCAATGAGTTTTCCAATGCTCAAAATATTCCAACTAGAAATACCAGAGATAACTCAAATACAAGCACAACATGGGAGTACCATGTTGGATGGGGAAATCAATAGGGAAGAGACACAGTTGGTGGGAGATTCAAACTTTTGCAACCTAAGGGAGCACTCTGCCACCATGACTTTGTTTCTACTCGATTTTGAAGTAAAGAAAAATAAGATGCAGCTTCAAGTACTGAAGTTAAAGATTCACAAACCCGGGATGTATTGGGAAGGAAGAGGTGCCAGAAAGAAGATGAAGTTGCAGATCAAGGTGGTTGTTCATGGGGGGAGATATGATAGGGACTTGGACAGCCAATAATAATAAGAATAATAGAGTATTATTAAATAGTGTTATTGTATAAATAAATGTTCTGGGCCATGTAATTCAGGGTATGGGCCGGCCCTTAAGAATAGAAAGTGTATAAAAGGGGGGAAAAGGGGAGGAATAGGCAGGCAGAATTTGGAAGAGGAACTGGGACTCCTGGGAGAGATAGACACTCTCGAATTTGCCTTTGTATTCCTCTTTCTATACTTTCTGTTATACGACATCTCTTTTCTTCATCTTTGATTCTTGAAATCTCTAGTGAAATTAGTTAGATACCTAACACTAGGTGACACTTAACCATAGGAAAAACTGTTTAATTAAAAGAATGGTTGATAGATTATCAACGTGTTTTGGCGATAAATTGCCTTTGTTAGTTTACATTGCACAGACTATTTTTACTACAAAAATTTAACTACGTAGATATTGTTAGAATGAAAAATCAAATGCTCGAGTAAACCATGAAATATTTTTTCAGTTTTGGAATGGTAGGTGATAGAGATACTGGGAGTCAGCCCATTACTAATAATAGTGTTAACTATTATAATCAAGTGTATTCTAGAAGAAGTAAGGGGAATATTAAATAGTTATGAACTGTATAAAGGGTTGGGTGAACTATTATAAATACGTAGCTATTGTAATAAGGAGTAGGCTGGTATTGTTTCAGTTGGGCTTGGACTTGGAGAGTGGCTCTCTTTAAACTGCCGGATATTTTCTCTCTCATTTCTGTTAATAACTACCTCCCTGAGATTGTTCATGCATTCCGTTCCCAATCTATTGCTTGAATTACCGTGTTCTTAGCTGATTACCTATCATTGGTATCAGAGCAACGATCTTGTTACCTGTACATGGTCACTACAAGAAAAACAATGAAAGCGAGGCTGGAAAATTTGGAGCGCGAGCTGGAGAAAAGTCGCGAAGAGGCCAGACTTGATCGCGAAGAGTTACGCGAATTAATTCTGCAGCGGAATGATCGGAACTCACGCGGAAGATAAAAAACAACCAAGAGAAGTGCGAGGAATGATAGTCACGAATCATCTTCATCTGAATGTTATCACCACTCCTCATCTTCTAGACGTGATGATGATTACAGTAGGTGGATTGAGATCTGGAATAAAAGTGGATTTACCACTTTTCAATGATCATGATGCGTATGGATGGACTATTAAGGTGGAACGCTTCTTTAAAATGAATCGCATAGCAGAAGATAATAAAGTAGAGTTAATTACTTTAGCTATGGAAGAAAAGGCTTTAAACTGGTTCCAATGGTGGGAGGAACATATGATTGTAAGAGATTGGGAACAGTTTAAAGATGCCTTGATTCGTAGATTCCAACCTGGATTGGTACAAGATCCATATGGTCCCTTACTCAGTATAACACAGACAGGTAGCGTGATGGAGTATAGGGAACAATTTGAGTTGATTGTAGCTCCCTTGAAACATACTGATGTGAAAATTCTTTAAGGAATTTTTCTGAAAGGGTTGAAAGCTGAAATACGAGCTGAATTGAAGTTGAATCCTGTTCGAACTCTTGCGGAATTAATGGATAAGGCTTTGATGGTTGAAGAAAGAAACCAGACTCTGAATTCAAGCACGTACAAGGAAGATGATAGAAGGGGACTGAAGGATAAAGTGAATGTTTCAACACACTCCCACAGATGGTTAAATGAGAACAAGTGGAAGAACAATTTGAGTAGCCAGACTAATCCTGGGAAATCTATCATGGAGAAGAACAATGATGCAGTAAATAAAGGTGCTGCAATGAGGGGAACACAAAGATTATCTCAGTCTGAACTGCAGGAGTTGAGCAGGAAGGGTCTTTGCTTCAAATGTGGGGAACAATGGGGTAAAGGTCACATATGCAAGATGAAACACTTTCAGATCATCATGTTAGATGATTCTGAAGAGGAGGAAGAGCAAGGAGAAAATCAACTGGAACCTATACCGAAGATTGAAGAAAATGACCTTTCCAGTATGCAATTATCACTAATGAGTAAAGAGGGAATGACCACTCCAAGGACTTTCAAGCTAAGAGGAGAAATACAGGGCCATAGGGGAAGCAAAGATGTAATCATACTGATTGATTGTGGGGCCACTCACAACTTTATATCTCCCAGGGTGGTACAAGAAGTGAGAATTCCTATACTTCACATTCCTGAATTTAAGGTGGAAATAGGGAATGGAGATCAAATTAAAAATGATGGAAGATGTGAGGCCTTATCTGTTAAGTTGTGGCAGATTATGATTACTCAAGACTTCTACACTTTGGAGTTAGGAGGAACTGAAATTGTGTTGGGCATGGAATGGTTGTCTGGATTGGGAAATGTGGAACTTAACTTCCATCAATTAACTATCCAATGGGTTGAAGATGGCCAATCAAGGAAGTTGAAAGCGGATCTTAATCTTAGCAGAACTGAAGTATCTCTGAAAAGTTTGGTAAAAGCTTTACACAAACAAGAAGGATACTGTTTGTACCAAGCTGAAGTGAAAGAAGAAGTGAAAGATAATGAAGTGAGACAAGTATGGGTCAGGGAATGCAAGACAGAGTTTCCTGAAGTTTTCAACTCCCTAGATGGATTACCTCCAAAAAGAGACTGTGATCATTCTATTAACATTAAGGAAGGATCAACTATCCCTAACATCAGACCTTATAGATACCCACAATATCTAAAGAATGAAATTGAGAAGGTAATTCAAGAATTATTAAATGGGGGAATCATCCAGCCCAGTACCAGCCTTACAACAGCCCAGTGCTTATGGTCAAGAAGAAAGATGAGGGATGGAGGTTTTGCGGAGATTACAGAGCCCTTAATCGAATTACAGTGCACAGATTTTTTCTAAGCTTGATCTGAAATCAGGCTATCATCAAGCAAAATGAGAGAAGAGGATGTCCATAAAACAGCTATAAGAACTCATGAGGGTCATTATGAGTACCTAGGCATGCCATTTGGACTTTCTAATGCACCCTCCACTTTTCAGGCTTTAATGAATAAAGTCCTTAAACCCTACCTCAAAAAATTTGTACTAGTTTTCTTTGACGACATCCTGATATATAGCAAAATAGAAGAACATTGGGAGCATGTAAAAAGGGTGCTACAATTGCTAAAAGAAAACCAGTTAGTGGTGAATGAAAAAAAGTGTTCCTTTGGGCAGAAACAATTGGCTTATTTGGGACACATTATATATAAAGGAGTTGCAGCAGATCCTAGTAAAATAGCAGACATGTTGGACTGGAAGTACCCAATTGATGTTAAGCGGTTAAGAGGATTCTTGGGGCTTACAGGATACTATAGAAAATTTTTTAAAGGCTATAGTAGAATAGCATCTCCTTTAAATGATCTTCTTAAAAAGGATGGATTTAAGTGGAATTCAGAAGCACAGCAAGCTTTTGATGAACTGAAACAAAGAATGACTCAGTTACCTGTGTTGAAGGTGTGCCAGACTTCAACCAAACTTTTGTAATTGAATCAGATGCATAAGGAAAAGGAGTGGGGGCTGTACTCATGCAAGAAGGATGACCAATAGCTTATATGAGTAAAACCCTGTCCAACAGAAATCAAAATAAATCTGTTTATGAAAGGGAACTCATGGCTATTGTATTAGCTATACAAAAATGGAGACCACATCTGCTAGGAAGAAGATTTGAAGTTCATACAGATCAAAAGAGAGCAGAGAATTTTCGGGGAAGATCAACAGAAATGGGTAACAAAGTTGTTGGGGTTCAACTTTGTCATCAAATACAAACCTGGAATAGACAACAAAGCTGCAGATGCTTTATCTAGAAAGGGTCATTTCTATTTCTTATTTGTTGTCACTTGTCAAGAGTGGGAAGGATTAGAAAATAAACTGATGGAAGATGAGAAGTACAAAGACATGTTGCAGAGACTGTGGACAGAACCAGATTCTATTCCTCATTTCAAGATCAGACAAGGGCTTCTTTGTTTCAAGGGAAGACTGGTGATTCCTAGAAATGCTGTGAGGATTAATACTATTCTCAAAGAAATCCATGAGTCTGCTATAGGGGGACATGCTGGAAACTTTAAAACCATGAAGAGGATATCTACTCTATTCCACTGGGAGGGAATGAGGACAAATATAAAGCAGTATGTACAACAATGTGATGTGTGCCAAAGAAATAAATATCAGACTTTAAGCCCAGCTGGATTACTGCAACCTTTACCCATTCCTAATCAGATCTAGATCTGATCTTAGCATGGATTTCATTGGGGGATTGCCAAAAGCTAAAGGGAAAGACACAATTGTAGTTGTGGTGGACAGATTGACAAAATTTTCACATTTTATAGCATTAACTCATCCCTACAATGCTCAAGTTGTGGCAGAAGTATTCATTAAGGAGGTTGTTAAACTACATGACTTTCCTAAAACAATAGTTTCAGATAAGGACAGTGTTTTCCTAAGTGCTTTTTGGACTGAATTGTTTAAGCTAGCTGGAAAAAAGCTGAAATATAGTACATCATATCATCCCCAGACAGATGAGCAGACTGAGGTAGTTAACAGATGTATAGAAACTTATCTCAGATGCATGACTGGAAAGAAACCAAAGCAATGGCCTCATTGGCTACCTTGGGCCGAGTTCTGGTACAACACAAATTATCATGTGTCTACTAAGAACACCCCTTATAAAGCACTGCATGGGCAGGATCCACCGGTACTGATTAGAGGAGATGTCACTCTTACAGCAGTGGAAGAGGTGAATAGAATGACAACTGAGAGGAATGAAATGATGGATGAGTTGAAGAGTAATTTGGCCATTGCACGAAATCAGATGAAGCAACAAGCTGATAAGAAAAGAAGGGAGGTTCAGCTTGTGGTTGGGGATTGGGTGTACTTTAAGATTCAACCCTACAAATCAATTCTGTAGCATACAAATTGAAACTGCCTGAAGATTGTAAAGTGCATCCTGTGTTTCATTTGTCCCTTTTGAAGAAAGCAGTACCTACTTCTACTCAAATACAGCCTCTACCTAAGTGCCTAACAGAAGAATGGGAGTTGCAAGTAAAGCCAGAGAATGTGAAGGATAGCAGAATCAACTCAGCAGGGAAAACTGAAGTGTTGGTGCACTGGAAAAATATGCCAGAGTTTGAAGATTCTTGGGAGGAACTGCAGCAACTTCAGAGGCAATTTCCTGATATCCACCTTGAGGGCAAGGTGGTAGTTTCAGGGGAAGTGATGATAGAGATACTGGGAGTCAGCCCATTACTAATAATAGTGTTAACTATTATAATCAAGTGTATACTGGGAGTCAGCCCATTACTAATAATAGTGTTAACTATTAACTATTATGAACTGTATAAAGGGCTGGGTGAACTATTATAATTATGTAGCTATTGTAATAAGGAGTAGGCTGGTATTGTTTCAGTTGGGCTGGGACTTGGAGAGTGGCTCTCTTTAAACTGCCGGATATTTTCTCTCTCATTTCTGTTAATAACTACCTCCCTGAGATTGTTCATACATTCCGTTCCCAATCTATTGCTTGAATTACTGTGTTCTTAGCTGATTACCTATCAGTAGGTATCATCAGGTTATTGCTTTTGAATTTTAAATTATAATGTAATGATACAATGTTATTAATATGTATATATGTTATCCTTTTGTGTTAAATTATTTGAAAGTCTAGTTTTTATTAAACATGTTCTTTCAAGAAAAAAAATCAGAAACTAGTTAAGTATGCCTTAATTTAAGTACCAACTATGATTTATATGTGGGTTGACATGATCTCTATTCCGAAGCCACCTAACTGGTTTTTGTGCATTGGTTAACTTTTTACAAAACTAAGTGACTTTATTTTATCTACTACATCTAAAATCTACGAATAATGAATCATCATTATTTTGTGTTGATGATATAATCACTTTCGCACTCATGATTAAGCCATACAACAATACAAACTACTTGCATCTTATCCACTTTGTAACTCACAAAATACTAGAAAATGAAAAGGAAGAAAACAAGAGGAAATTGGAAGGAAAGAAAGCTTGAAGAAAAGGAAATAGAGTATTGAACTCTGATACTTTGTTCAAACTCATTTTTATTTATTTATTTATTTTTATCATATCAAGACTAATTCTAATGAACCTAAGTATATTTAATTAAAAAAGTCAAGGTGTAGTTTATATTCATTTTTCAAATGTAAAACCAAACATGATAGCATATTCTGCAATCTAAACATTACCCTAATGTTTTCTTGTTCTTCATGCCCTGTTCCTGTCTATCTAGGTTAGGGATGAGATAGAGCAACTTATGGATGATGATGGTGACATGGCTGAAATGTATCTTACTGAGAAGAAACAACGGATGGAATCATCATTGGTTTACGGTGATCAATCTTTGATTGGGTATAGATCAACTGACGGTGTGATGTCTGTTTCTGCTCCGGTTTCTCCGGTTTCTTCTCCTCCAGATAGCAACAGGAAGCTTGAGAAGAGTTTGAGCATAGCCAGAAGCCGACACGAGAGCATGAGAAGTTCCGAGAGTGTTGAAGAGGCACAAAGTATAGAGGAACTTGAGATGCTGTTAGAAGCTTATTTTGTTGTCATTGATAGCACCCTCAACAAGTTAACTTCGGTATCTTCTCACTCTCTTTTATAGTTTAGGGTAGGTTTGGATATAGGGCCAGTTCTAGGAAATGGAAACAGGGGAAAATATGCATAATGAAATTTGAAAGGAAAGAATATGTTCAAACTCTATATTATGTACCATCCTCCGTTATTTAATAGTTGCAACAGTTTGACTTTCACGTTTGCCAACACACAACTTTGACTGTAATTAAATTTATTTAATTACGTATTAGTAAACATTATAAAAGTTAATATTTTGTAAATTCACATTAATAGAAATTTAATAACATTTTATACATAATAATTTGATTATAAATATTAGTAGAAAATCGCGGTCAAAGTAAGGTGTGTGAATAATGCGAAAAACACAATGTTGCAACAATTAAAGCACGCATAAAATATTTTGTATATGTTAAGTGATTTTTAAATTTAAGAATGATAACGGGTAGCATGAATACTTGATAGGGTAGCGTACTGTATGAGATACTCTAGGATACCTATACTGTGCATTCTCAGTATATGAAATTTATTAAAACTTTTCAACTTTTTGTAATTATTTGAAATCAGAACACATACCGTGACAAACAACAACATACAAGCCTTATTCACAAAAGATTTTGAGGTCAGTAACATGAATCGATCCATGATATCTGAGCCAAAAAGAGAATACGACGACAACAACAACATCCAAGCCTTAATCCCAAAAGATTTTGGGGTCGGCTAACATGAATCGATCCATGATATCAGAGCCAAAAGAGGAAAAAAGAATAAAAAAGCAAAGTAAGATAAATCAGATAAGATAAAGATAAGTATAGGATAACAATAACAGAAGAACATAAGAATGATAAAAGATAAAAAAAAGAGCATAAGAAAGATTAAAGATAAAAATAACATAGGAATATAGAAAGATAACGTAGATAAACGGTAAAAGGAAAAGGAGAAACAAAAGATAGAAAAGAGATCAATCGTCCACATAAATGTGCGTCCTCCATTTTGCTTTCTCTAAAGCCATACTCTCATCCGGTTAAAGTATTTGTCCCACACCGGAAATCTATAAAACAATAAAACATTATATAAGGCTTTGGGCTACTCCTATCAGGTTGACCTTTTAGGATGAAACCCCGGATCTTAACATGGTATCAGAGCCTTCCATTTCAGTTTAGTTTTCAGATTTCAGTTCAGTATTCAGGGTCGATTCTTTCTCCAAGAACCCGAGTTAACTCCAAAACCTTACACACCATTTTGTCTCCAAGAAACTCACTTCCTAGAACCTCCGATCTTAGAACCTCTTCTGAGAACCTCTGCCCTCATTCGACAACATCAACAGACCCTAGAACCAGAACCTTAGTCCAAACTTACACTGTAGTGTCCTATCTCACACTTGCTCACACCTGCCTTGCTCAGACCTCCGCCCTAACCAGGTGAACCTACTGCCGCCGACCACGTCTTTGAAGTACGCACCAGCAATGCCTCGTGCGTCAGTCACACGCTCCACCGAAGGCTTTCACAGCTGCCGCACGCGCCGGCACGTGAAGCTTCATAGCTCACACTTGCGCCGGCACACGCTTCTGTACTGTCTGAATCCATTTTTTTCTGATCTGCAAGCTCTTGGATCCACATGCTTCTCAAGGTTAGACCCAACTCGAGCCGCGGAAGCCCCCACTTCGTCACTTGATTCATACCAGGTTGAGAAAAGATGAGATTTGAGACTTGGTGAGCTGGCTTGCATTTGGAAGGGGGCTGCGTTATATATTTTTGGACCATATCATTATATCAACAAGGCCTACGGAAAGTCAGAAACCCAGATCTTGCCAACCATTTATTGAGTTGCCGTTGGTAAGTCTTAATCAGTTATATTTATTTATTCTCAAAAACAAAACAAAAAGTAAAAAAAAAAATTAAAAAAAATGTCTTGTAGGAGTCCATTTGACGGAGGAGTAATATGCTCAAAGCCCGGACACTTGCTCAAAGAATGTAGAAATCTGTTGTTAAAAAATCAAGGAAATCGGCTTGCTCATGTTGCTTCCACTACCAGTTCATCTGATGGATCAATTGCTATTTCTTCAGACGAGTATGTCAAATTTATTTGCTACTAAGAATCTGTAAAGCATTCCTCTGTCCCTATCTCAGTATTCGCTAATTCAGGTATTTCCAGTACATGTCTTGTTTCATCATCCTCAAAATGGGTCATTGACTCAGGTGCCACAGATCATATGACCGGTAATCCTAGTTAATTCTACTCATTTCATTCATATTTACCTACTTCTTGTGTCACTTTAGCTGACGGGTCTACCTCACGTGTTCTTGGATCCGGTACTATTGTCCCAACTTCTACATTACCATTATTGTCCGTTTTGAGTCTTCCTAATTTTGCATTTAATCTGCTTTCCATCAGTAAAATCACGCGTACTCTTAATTGCTCAGTAACATTTTTTCTTGGATATTGTGTGTTTCAGGATCTGTTAACGAAACGGATTATTGGTAAAGGACATGAGTCAGCTGGTCCTTTTATTTTGGATACATCAATCACAAAAGGTATCTCTTGTCTTGGGGTTGGGACTTGTTAGAGGCTCATTACCGATTAGAACATCCATCTCTCCCATTAATGAAACAAATAAATGCTCAATTCACTAAGATGTCATCTTTACTCATCTTGTATTTCTTCATTTGTGTCGTATAATCAGTTATCTCCTGTCTTATGTTCTTTTATTGCTTCCTTTGATTCTATTTTTGTTCCCAAATCTGTTTAAGAAGCTCTCTCTCATCCTGAATGGCGTCATGCCATGGTAGAGGAAATGAATGCTTTGGATCGTAATGGTACTTGGGATTTGGTAGACTTACCTACAGGGAAGAAGTCCATTGGATATAAGTCGGTCTTTGCTGTTAAGGTTAACCCAAACTGATTTGTTGCTCGGTTGAAAGTCTGAGTAGTTGCAAAGGGTTATGCTCAAACGGTCAAACCTATGGTGTTGATTATTCTGACACTTTTTCTCCCGTTGCTAAATTAACATTTGTCAGGTTACTTGTTTCACTCGTTGCAACTCATGATTGACACTTACATCAGCTGGGCATTAAAAATGCATTCTTGCATGATGACCTTCAGGAAGAAGTTTATATTGAGCAATCTCCAAGATTTGTTGCTCAGGGGGAGGAAGGTAAAGTTTGTTGACTTCGCAAATCTCTTTATGGTTTGAAACAGAGTCCTTGTGCATGGTTTGGGAAATTCAGTCAATCAATTGAACGGTTTGGAATGTTAAAAGACCAATCAAACCACTCCGCCTTTTACAGAAGAACGAAAGCAGGTATCACATTGCTTGTGGTATATGTCGATGATATTGTGATTACTGAGAGTGATAATGCGGTATTTTGGCTCATAAGGATTTTCTTCATAGCCAATTCCATACGAAAGATCTAGGTTCATTGAAATACTTCTTGCGTATTGAGATAACACGGAGCAAGAAAGGCATATTTCTATCTCAACGTAAGTATGTACTTGACTTGCTAGCTGAAACAGGAAAATTAAGGGCAAAACCGAGCAGTACTCCCATGATTCCCAGTGTGCAACTCACTCACGAAGGCATGCCATTTGAAGATCCAGAAAGATATAGAAGATTGGTTGGGAATCTTAATTATCTCACGGTTACCCGTCCAGATATTGCGTACTCGGTGAGTGTATATTATCCTTTGAATGTTGTATAGCATATATTATGTTACTTGTGAAGGGAACACCGGGACGAGGTATTGTTTATCAAATCATGATCTCATGAGAATAGAATGCTTTGCAGATGATAGAAGATCTATATCTGGCTATTACGTCTTTATTGGTGATAACCTCGTCTCCTGAAAAAGTAAGAAGCAAAATGTGGTTTCTCGTTCTAATGTTGAATCAGAATATCGTGCTATGGCACAATCAACATGTGAGATAATCGGGATAATCCATTTATTGAGCGAAATCAGATTGAAGAAAACAATGCATGTTAAACTGTGGTGTGATAACCAAGCTGCTATACACATTGCTAACAACCTAGTGTTTCATGAGAGAACAAAACATATTGACGTCGATTGTCATTTTATTCGAGAGAAGATATAAAAAGGATTGATCTCTACAACATATGTGAAGGCTGGAGAACAATTTGGAGATTTGTTTACTAAAGCACTAAATGGAATCCGAGTTGGTTTTATGACTCTTATGTAACAAGTTGAGCATGATAAGTATCTATGCTTCAACTCGAGGGGGAGTTTGAAAGATATTAGAATATACTTTAGAATATGCTTTAGAATATTTTAGGAAAATACTCTAGGATATTATTTATAGGACAGCAATTAGGCCTGCATTACTGTATGGCGTAGAGTGTTGGGCGGTGAAACAATGTCACATTCAAAAGATGAGTGTGACAGAGATGCGCATGCTGCGTTGGATGTGTGGGCATACTAGGAAGGACCGCGTGAGGAATGAGACAATCAGACAAAGGGTGGGAGTAGCACCTATTGAAGACAAGATGCGGGAGTCGCGCCTACGGTGGTTTGGTCATGTGCGTAGAAGACCGAGTGATGCACCTGTTAGGCGAGTTGAGATGTGTGGAGAAGAGGCAGGGAAGAGAGGGAGAGGAAGACCCAAACAGACGTGGGTTAGGGGAGTTCGAAGTGATATGCTTCTTCTGGGGTTGGATGAGGGCATGACTTTGGAGAGAACTAAGTGGAGGGCGGATATTCACGTGAAGGAGTGATCTTGATAATCTTTTTCCCTCATCTTTTTTCCTAGTTTTTTTATCCTTGTATATATATATATGCATTATTTGCAGCCTTTTTATTTTATCATTTTTATATATAGTCATCTTTTTTATATTATCTTTTCATAATAGCTTATCTTTTTATCTTTATTCCTTCTTTTCCTTTTGGTTGTGATATCATGTATCGATTCATGTTAGCCTACCCCAATATCTTTTGGGACTAAGGCTTGGATGTTGTTGTACTCTAGGATGTTATTATTTTATAGATTCTTATAGGAATATTCTATCTTTGTAATGCATATTTATAAGGTCTTAACCCTCCAATGAAATACACAGAAAATCCTTTCATCTCCAATATTATTTCTTGATTTATGTACTTTATTTCAACATGTTAAGACCCGAAGTTTCATCCTAAAAGGTCAACCTAATAGGAGGAGTAGCTCAAAGCTTTATATAGTGTTTTATTGTTTTATAGATTTGCGCTGTGAGACAAATACTTTAACACGTCCCCTCGGACAATATCAAGGTGTATAAATGGGTCAAACAAGCCCTTAATATGCTACCCTTAATCATGAATGCTAAACAAACAGTCAAACCACAATCGGATTTGACTCTGATACTATGTTGAAATAGATCATATAAACTAAGAAATAATATTGGAGAGGAAAGGATTTACTGTGTATTTCATTGGAGGGTTAAGACCCCATAAATATACATTACAAAGATAGAATATTCCTATAAGATTCTATACAATAATAATATCCTAGAGTATATTCCTAAAATATTTTAAAGCATTATCTAAAGTATATTCTAATATTTTTACATATCCAACCCAAGAAGAAACATATCAGTTCTGATTCCTCTAATCCAAATCTGTTTGAGTCTTCCTCTCCTTCTCCTCCCCACCTCTTTTCCCCACCTCTCAAGTTGTCTAACAGGCGCATCACTCGGTCTTTTGCGCACATGACTAAACCATCACAATCGAAACTCTTGCATCTTATCTTCTACAGGCGCTACTCCCACCTTTTGTCTGATTATCTCATTTTAAAACACTATTTTCTAGTATGTCCACACCTCCAACACAACATATGCATATCTTCCACACTCATATTTTGAATGTGACATTGTTTCACTGCCCAATACTCTACATCATACATTAATGCAGGCATAATCGCAGTCTGAAAAAGATTTCTCTTCAATCTAGTTGGCATACCTAGAGCGCATAGAAATCCTGAGATTCCTATGAGACACATCTCCATCTAATTCACCAACCTTCTGTACTATGGAGCCTAAGTAACGGAACATATCACACACCAGTATCTCCTTGCTACCAAGAGCATTCAACTGTTACTACTACTTCTACCTCCACCAAACTTACACTCCATATACTGGTTCTTGCTTTAAATCAGTCTGAAACCCTTGGTCTCCAATGTTTGTCGCCATACTTCTAACTTTGCTTTAACATCCGATTGTGTCTCATCAGTCAATACAATATCGTTGGCAAACATCATGCACCACGGTGTATCTTCTTGAATTGACTTCGTAAGTTAAAGCAAAGTGTATCCAATAAGATAACATCGTGCACCACGGTGCACCACGGTGCACCACGGTGTATCCAATAAGATATCCCGACATATCAACAACAACATCCAAGCCTTAATCCCAAAAGAATTTGGGGTCGGCTAACATGAATCGATCAATGATATCGATGCCAAACAAAGAAAAGACAGACAAGAAAGGGAAGAAAAATGTAAGATAAATAAATAAAATAAAGATAAATAAATATAAGATAACAATAACACAAGAATATAAGAAAGATAAAAGATAACAAATAAAAGAGCATAAAAAGCTAGAAGATAAAAATAATATAAGAATATAAAAAGATAAAGAAGATAAACAATAAAAGAAAAAAAGAGGAAATGTAGAAAATGTATTAGTTGATTCTAGAACATGTATCTCGACAGATACATGTATCAATTTTTTCATATAGAAAATGTACAAAAAATAAATAATAAAAATATTGAAAAGTAAAAACTAAAAACTAGTTCTACTTATATCTCACACATGATCTTGACTAATGTTGTCATCCACTCATCCGTAATTCTCTTTATCCCTAACTCACCCTTATAGAATTGCAAAAAGTCATATTGGCGAACCCATAATCTATTCCACCGATCTACTTCGATTTTTTCTACAGTTTATGTTCTTTAATTTAAATTCTTCCAACTAAGCATTATATGAATGAGTTTGTAAATACAAAAAGCAGAGAATCTCTCTTTTTTTAGTATTTATTTAGAAATACACCCCTATAATTTTTAATATTTAGAAATACACCCCTATTCGACAATCAGACAAAGGGTGGGAGTAGCATCTATTGAAGACAAGATGCGGTAGTCGCGCCTACGGTGGTTTGGTCATGTGCGTAGAAGACCGAGTGATGCACCTGTTAGGCGAGTTGAGATGTGTGGAGAAGAGGCAGGGAAGAGAGGGAGAGGAAGACCCAAACAGACGTGGGTTAGGGGAGTTCGAAGTGATATGCTTCTTCTAGGGTTGGATGAGGGCATGACTTTGGAGAGAACTAAGTGGAGGGCGGGTATTCACGTGAAGGAGTGATCTTGATAATCTTTTCCCTCATCTTTTTTTTTCCTAGTTTCTTTTTATCCTTATTTATATATAAGCATTATTTGCAGCCTTTTTATTTTATCATTTATATATATATTCATCTTTTTTTATATTATCTTTTCATAATAGCTCATCTTTTTATCTTTATTCCTTCTTTTCCTTTTGGTTGTGATATCATGTATCGATTCATGTTAGCCGACCCCAATATCTTTTGGGACTAAGACTTGGATGTTGTTGTTGTTGTAGAAATACACCCCTATAATTTTTAATATTGATAAAACACCCCCATTTCCGCATCTTGTATTTTTTAGTTTCGTCGTATAGCCGTACTCGTATCCGCATTCCCCTATCTGTGTTACATAGAACACATCTCATATTCTCAAGTAAAATCAAACACAAGAAAGTGATTCCTTATTCTCTCCTCTTTCGCGCGTTTTCCAGAATCAACTAATACCCCAGGGTCAGGTTTGAAAGATGGAAAAGGCTAATGTAAGAAAATAGGGGTGGGGGAGATATAGGGGAGACTGTAATAAAAGAATTTGTTTGAACTCAAAAAAAGAATTTGTTCGAACTCGATGAATATATATTTTTATAGTTGTTCAAACTCATTTATTCATGTATTTCAATTATATCAAGTCTAAACAATTACAGCATATGTGAAAAGTTTAGAAATATTAATCATAACTAATAATTTTTTGCGTTTTTTTGAGGTAAAACTAAATACTCTAAATAACCTCTCCGCTTTTTTTTTTCCTTCCCTAGAATTTTCTTGAATCCAAAGATACCTTTAATGTTTTCCCATCTAGTAAAGTTGGATGCATTATCTTTCATTTTCTTCCACTTACAGCTCAAGGAGTATATTGATGACACAGAAGATTTCATCAACATTCAGCTGGTATGTATCTTCAGCATATGATAATAACACACAAAAAATGACCTGAAGGTGTGGTGTGGTGCAATGAGATATGAAGCTTTAAGGTGGTGTAGCTGTAAAAGAACAATAGGAAATATTACTACCAGAGTAATTCTCACACTTATACCAATCATACATCATGCATACAACTTATAAATAGGTAAGAGTATGATAGGGACCCGGACACTCCTCCTAATAAAAATATTATTAAGTATTCTAATAGTGTACAATAAAAGGGGGTTTAGGCCCTATAACTATTTAGCAATGGGCTGGCCCATGAGAAAAAGAATAAATAGGAGTTGGGGCGTAGAATAGGGGAAGCAGAAAATTGGAATTGGGAGTGGGAGGCTACTCGAAGTATCTCACTTGTATTCTCCGTTTCTGTTTCTTCGCTAGGCTGCTAATTCTGCCATTGTGTTCGCTTCAGGAGTTCAGAGGTTTTCTCTGTTTTCCCTAGTTAATATACATATAGGGGGTGTTTGGAACTGCTTCTGCTTCTGCTTCTGCTTCTTTTTAAGGCAGAAGCGGAATTAGAATCAGTTTTCAGAAGCTGGTCACCCAGCTTCTAGGAAAACTGATTCTAGGAGTAAATTAGAGCATCAGAATCACTTCTGCACTTTCACCCAAACACTCCAACTTCTGCTTCTCCTCCCTGAAGGGGCAAAAGCAGTTTTAAGAATCAGATCCAAACACCCCCATACCGTCGAGTTCCTATCATTGGTTCAGAGCACCTTCTTGGAGATTGTGGATGACCTGGATGAGAGGATAGACGGAGCACAGACTGGAGTCAATGGAGAATAACATGCAGGACCTGCACAACATCGGCAACAAGATGCGCAGCTGGATGTTGAACCAGGATCACAGAACATATGCGAAGCTGGAGGAGCTGCGAACTCTGATGACACAACAGAATATCTGACTATCGCAAGGAAGATCTTGGATGCCAAAGCAGAAGCTTTGCGAGGCAAGTACGAATTCTGCTGACTCAAGAGGTAATTTTGACCGTTCTAGAATTTCGTATTCCAGGCGCGATAACAGTAACAATATGGCATTGTTGTAAACCGGAAGAAAAACAGACTTACCGGTATTCAGTGGAGATGAAGCCTATGGTGGGATAGTTCGAGCTGAAAGTTTTTTTAATTGAACAATATTACTGATGAGGACAGAGTTTCAGTTGTTGTGGCTGAGCACTGAACTGGTTTCAGTGGTGGGAGGAGCAAGCTAATGAGCTCAGCTGGGAAGAGTTTAAGGAAGCTTTGTTCCTTTGGTTTCAGCCGGAATTGGTGCAGACCCGTTCGGACCCCTGTTGAGTATCAATCAAGCACGAAGCGTGATGGAATATAGGGAAGACTTTGAACTGGTGGTCGCACCCCAGAGAAATACTTATGGAGGAATTGAGAGCTGAACTCCAACTGTATCACTCTGGATCTTTATATGAGCTTATGGACAGGGCCTTGTTGCTGGAAGAGAACAACAAGGCGTGGAGAGGAGGAAAATATAAGGAAGAAGACAAAAAGGGATGAAAGGAACAAGGCGTGGAGGGACAATGGTTAGGACTTTGAACTGGGTGGAATGAGCGAAGGGAAGAACATTTGATATTCAGTCACTGACTTCTGAGAGAACACATTTAGATAACAAACTGGAGGAATCACCTAAACCGAATAAGACATGGGAGGGAGGGCCAAAGGTTGATCAAGCAGAGCAAGAAGAAAGGAGTAAAAAGGGCCTGTGCTTCAAATGTGGAGACAAATAGGGTAAAGAACATGTTTGCGGAATGAAACATTATCAATTTGTGCTTATGGAAAATCTAGAAGAGGAGAAAGGACTTGAGGATCAGCAGCCTGAACAGTTTGGATGTGATAGGATCATCCCTATCAATTTGGATGCAGCAGAACAGTTTCGTACTACCCACCTTGAGGACAAGGTGGTAGTCAAAGGGGGAGTGATGATAGGGACCGGGACACTCCTAATAAAACTATTTTTAAGTATTCTAATAGTGTACAATAAAAGGGGGTTTAGGCCCTGTAACTAATTAGCAATGGGCGGGCCCATACAACAATAACAACATCCAAGCCTTAGTCCCAAAAGATATTGGGGTCGGCTAACATGAATCGATACATGATATCACAACCAAAAGGAAAAGAAGGAATAAAGATAAAAAGATAAGCTATTATGAAAAGATAATATAAAAAAGATGAATATATATAAAAATGATAAAATAAAAAGGCTGCAAATAATGCTTATATATATATAAGGATAAAAAAAACTAGGAAAAAAAAGATGAGGGAAAAAGATTATCAAGATCACTCCTTCACGTGAATACCCGCCCTCCACTTAGTTCTCTCCAAAGTCATGCCCTCATCCAACCCCAAAAGAAGCATATCACTTCGAACTCCCCTAATCCACGTTTGTTTGGGTCTTCCTCTCCCTCTCTTCCCTGCCTCTTCTCCACACATCTCAACTCGCCTAACGGGTGCATCACTCGGTCTTCTACGCACATGACCAAACCATCGTAGGCGCGACTCCCGCATCTTGTCTTCAATAGGTGCTACTCCCACCCTTTGTCTGATTGTCTCATTCCTCACGCGGTCCTTCCTAGTATGCCCACACATCCAACGCAGCATGCACATCTTTGCCACACTCATCTTTTGAATGTGACATTGTTTCACCGCCCAACACTCTACGCCATACAGTAATGCAGGCCTAAATGCTGTCCTATAAAATTTACCCTTCAGTCTATTCGGCATACCTCGGTCGCATAGAAATCCTGACGCACTCTTCCACTTCATCCACCCTGTTCTGATTCTATGGGATACATCTCCATCTAACTCACCGTCCTTCTGAATTATGGAGCCCAAGTAACGGAACATATCGCTGACTGGTATCTCCTTACCATCCAGAGTAATTCCGTTATTACCACTACTTCTACCTCCACCAAACTTGCACTTCATGTACTGTCTTGCTCCGACTTAGTTTGAAACCCTTATTCTCCAATGTTTGTCGTCATACTTCCAACTTTGCTTTAAGACCTGATTGCGTCTCATCAATCAATACTATATCGTCGGCAAACATCATGCACCACGGTATATCGTCTTGAATTGACTTCGTAAGTTCATCCATGTCTATGGCAAATAAGAATGGACTCAAGGCCCATGAGGAAAAAAATAAACAGGAGTTGGGGCGTAGAATAAGGCATGCAGAAAATTGGGATCGGGCTGGTAATTGGGAGTGGGAGACTACTCGAAGTGTCTCACTTGTATTCTCCATTTCTGTTTCCTCTTTCTTGTACGCTAAGCTACTGATTCTGTCATTGTATTCGCTTCAGGAATTCGAAGGTTTTCTATGTTTTCCCTATTTAATATACATATACTGCCGGGTCTCTTTCAGAGTTCAGAGTACATCATGAGACATAGGTGTATCTAAGGTTAAAGCATACGAAGAGTTTAGACACATGCTCAAACTTTAAAACTTATGCATGTGCTGAAACTTAACACTTCCCCTCAAGCAGGAGCATATCATACGCTCAAAGCTTGTTTCAACGTTAAAACTTATGCATGTGCTGAAACTTAACACATCTGTGTTTACTGATCTTGTAAATTAATAAAAGTAGTGATAATGTCTTGCGATTGAATTTTCTCACGAATGAAATGACATCCACCTCTATATGTTTGATCATTTCATGAAAATCTGGATTGGTTGTGAAGTGTATGGCTGCTTGTTTATCACATATCAACTTCATGCATGAGTTTGCAAAAGTTCTGAAAGGCGATGCCTGACCCAAAGGCCATTGCACAATCTGGAGATGCATGATTTCTTAATTTTCCAAGTTTTCAAATTTCCACCAAAGAAAAAATAATAACTGGTTTTGGATCTTTGATCCAAGGCAACCGCCCAATCTGTATTAGTATATCCACAAGTGACAAGGCCAAAACTTGAAATAGCAACCCTAAACCTGGTGCTTGTTTGTACCTTAAGATTTGAGTAACTGCAAAGGTGATGTCAGGTTAGAGTAATAGTGAGATAGGGACCTTTTTCCAACAAGCCTTTGATATCTATTGGGATTAGATAGAGGCTTCTCTATCCTGGTAAAAGCTTAAAATTAGGATCCATTGGGTGTCAATTGGTTTACAATTTGACACCAACTTCTTCAAGAACGTTTGAGGCGTCTTTCGTTATGAAATAGTACCCTGTCTTTTGATTGTGCAACTGCAATGTTGAGAACGTATGTCAACTTAGCATGATCCTTCATGTCAATGTGATGAAACAAATACTTCTTAAGATATTTTATTGGGAAAGTTCCCGAAATAGGACTAAAACAGTTTCAAAATTTCAAAATTGGACTGTCATGTTTTTATTCCCAAAATAGGACTAAATACTGCCATGTTTAGAAAATACTGACATGTTTGAAGTCTGGTACTGCCAAAACATGACAATAATTAGTCCTATTTTGGGAATAAAAACATGGCAGTCCTATTTTGGAATTTTCAAACTCTTTTAGTCCTATTTCGGGTAATCTCTATTTTATCTTTGAACATCATTACCAGCGATCACCATGCCATTTACGTAAATCACATGGGAAACAATTAGACCCTTATGGTGTTTGTAGAAGATAGAGTGATCAACCGTACTTTGAATCATGCCATTAATGAGCACGCATGTTCTGCTTTAACCCATATAATGAGCTCTTAAGAGCACGCGAACAAGGTCGAGAAAGATCAATTTTCATATCTATTATGATCACTCGAGGAGAAATGAAAATAATAATGCTTTATTGGAATTAATCTGGTGTCTGACCTAGTCAAGACCCTAGGTCAGACCCCTGGGATTAATTCTTCCAAAGGTCCCTTATTAATCAATACCAAGGTCCATTATATGGCTAACATCATCATCATCATTACCCCAGTGCCGCAAAGGCTCCCACCTTCGGTGGGGTAAGGGGGGTCGGATTTAGCAGGTTTTACTCTCGTACTAAAGCACAAAGA